ATATATTAATATTAGGGATGTCAAACTGACTTGTTGTTCGCGAACAGCTCGTGTTCGACTCGTGTTCGACTCGTTCGTTAAGAAACGAACACGAACAGTGACTTCACGAACAATTTCGAACACGAGCTTATTTCAAACAAACTAAATTTCAAACGAACCGAACACGAACACAAGCTCTGTTTGTTCGTGTTCAGTACGTTTACACCCCTATGCACAACCACGCACATACATAAAAAAGCAACACAAATAATGCATGAAGGCATACAAAATCTGGTCAAAGAAAAAAGAATAAATAAAAAGGGAAACAAAATGCCATTAAGGATAGTTTGGGCTTAGGCACACCAGTTTTCCTAGAAGATCTCCCTCATTTTGGAGGGCGTAATGTGTCATCAGAATTTTTTAAGAGTCCCCAAATACTTTTCAATTATTTTAAAAAATTTGGAAATCATCTTAACACAAACTTTAAATTAAAATGATTCCAAATAAATAATCGAGTATTATTTTGGCACTTCATTTATTTTGGAGGGAATATTATCTTTAGATTTACGTTAAGTATGATTTAGTAAACGCTAAAAATCCTAATTTATCAAATCCATGTGTTATTAAATTCATAATAGTGTTTGGTTCGATTGAGGTTAAATTCATTTAAATTTAACATACGTATTTGACATTTTATTCTAGTTGAGTTGTTGAGTTATGCTATTGTTTTCTCCTCAAGTCAAATACATTAAATTCACCGAATATTCAATTTATTAAATCGAGATTTAGGTTAAAAAATTGATAGAATGGAGAAGAAAATGAATTTAACGGAGCACTAGAATGGGGCTGATTAATTTTTATTTTTTGTTTTTGAAAATAAAAAAAAATAAGAAACAAACAAAAGATAGTGTTTGGTTATCGTTTTGTTTTATTCCTATCTTTTTAATTTTTTGGAGGAATACTTGTGTTTTTTAAAAAAAGTTCTTGTTTGTTTTGCCGCCGCCACCGCAGTGGGCTCCCGCTCGTCGTTGTCTGCTATCGCCCGCCTCCCGTCCTTGGCTGCCCGAGCTAGTCGTCTGCCTCTACTCGTCGAGTTCGCTCGCCGCCATCGCCGATCGCCCTCATGCCACTTTCAAATGGTCGTTGCCCCCCTCTCGCCGCCCGCCTGCTTACATATATTACTTCTTGTTGGGTGGAGTAAGGAAGATGATGTATGTATCATGGGCAGCAAAACTTAATACTAGACCGCACGTGTACTCAACCATTATAAAAACGTATAGTTTTTTCCTTAACAAAAACAAAAGAAAACTCAATTTTTAAGTTGTCTTATGAACACGCCTTAAGAGCTAGAGTAAAGTGAATGAGGAAACTAGGGATTAATAGGCAAATCTCAGTAGACGAACTGAGGAAAAGAGCCCCTGATTCTTTTGAGGGTGCATTCCTCATTCAAAATTTGTAACAGATGTACCTTTTGAGTTTATGGTAATCTGGGTGTAATGTATCTTCAGATCGAGAAAAGTAAAATTTTGTGATTTTATTATATTGTATCTGCTTTGATGATGAGTAGTTGGTCTTTCTTTGTACTTCGGTTGATTTACTGCTTTTGTCTTTTGCTTAGCCGATTCGATCTTGTTGTCTGATAAAAAAGGTCGCACCATATTGGTTGCTCGAAAAATACGTTCCTTGAGTTTCCAAAATCTACCTATCACCCAATCTATCAGACCAAGTTCTCTGAGTGTCAGAGGGACATGTTCCGGCCAAGTTTCGTGATTGAACATCGATTAAACTCGCCATTACGCTTGTTCAGGTCAGACTCCTCAAACAATGAGGGACAGTGGCTAAGTGATACGATGGGCTTAACATCGCTTTCATGTCACATGCCCTTCTTGCGTTAGTATTGAATGTTGTTATGACTTGATGAGTTTTCTCTTTCTCTTTCCTTCTCAAGAAGGTTAGTCGTCATCCTCTCCCATCAACACACCTTTGACAGGCTTGTGCTAGGAGAACATAGTTGGGATTGCTGACCATCCCCATATAAAATGGGGAATGGAGACTTTGTGAGGAGTCAAAGGCGGTGCTGACTTTCCGCTGATGGGAGTGACGGTCCCTTTCTGAGCTCCACTTTAGTTTTTCTTTTCTTTGAGTCACATGTTGAAGTAGGGGACTTTCTTCGAGTCAGGTGCCGAACGCGACTTCGGTCGGGGTCGATACTCCTCTTGAAGTCCTCTCCGTGAATGGGTGTGTTAGATCCCGATTAAGAAAAGTTCTCAGCACACTCCTAAGGAATGCAATACATCCATTCAGATGTGATCATACCAACACTAGTGCACTAAATCTCATCAGAACTATGCACTTAAGTGTGCGTGGGCAAGAGTGGTACTAGGATGTGTGACCTTTATGAGAATTCCTCCTGTTGGCAAACTATTTTTCTTATTATCCCCTTAAGACATTTAGCACGATCATGCACATAGTTTCCTTCCTTACGCCAGAGAATCTAAACAATGGGTAGGCTGGTGTTGTTAACTTGTTGATTTTGAGTTCCAATTTGTCGAACACCTTTTTGAACTGAAGGTTAACCGAGCTTCTGATGTCGATCAGGTTGTTTCCCACCTGGTAGTTGTTTCTGAGGGTTGTGACAATGATCGCCTCATTGTATGGGTTTTCTTTCGGAGGAGATCTACATCTGTAAAACTGATGGGAGGGTGAGTACGAAAGCAAGAGGTGACGGAACATATCTCCTCTGATCTTTGCCTCTTAAGGCTAGACGGTCGGGGTAACCCTCCACCTCCATCGAATATAGTTGGAATTATTCCATCCATGTGGATCTTACCTGCATGCACATGACCATCGCGAGAGCACCTTTGCTGGGGCCTTTCCTCTTTCATTGGATGTGTGCTCCCATAGCGACGAACTCCTTCAACTTTCTGGCTCTAATGAGCTCCTCTACTAGATTTTTGAGATGACAACACTCCTTGTCGTGGCAGTGGTCCAATTGGTAGGTCCAATATTTGTTCAGATTGCACAGTGCTAGTGCGGTCTTCAACAGGGGGACTTTCTTGAAATAGTCATTATTTTGAATGATTTGGACTAGCTCGGCCATCGACATGTTCAAGGGTGTCGACCCTTGCATCTCTCAATGCAAAAATGTGGTCGTTAGTAGTACTGAACCGGGTGATAGTCAAAAGAATACCTCTGATTCTTGTTACCTTGGTTGCTTCCCTGATTGTCCCGGGACCTAGGGTCATCGTTTGGTCGATAGTCATGGGCTCGGTCGCCTTTCTGTCTTCCGCCATCGTCTCATTCCTTCCGCTTCTGTGTCCGGTGGGTGGATGACTCTCGTTTAACTTTCGAGGAGTCCATAAGTTCCTCCTCAGAGGTGATGTGATCGTTAGCCAACTTCAAGATCTTCATGAAGGTTCTTGGTTTTATTAGGTTTATGGCGTACCTGAATCACTTGCTATGAACCCCTTATTTTAGGTCATACAGGCGATGAGTGGCTCCAAACTCTTAACCTCCAGTATTTCCTTCTGGAAGCGCGTGATGTAAGCCGCAGGCTTTTATTTTCTCCCTTAAGTATGGTATTTGTATCTTTTCTCAACTTCTGAACGTTGGTGAAGTGCGTCAAGAAGAACTTTCTGAACTCATAAAAGGATGATATAACTCCATCGGACATGCTGTTAAATCACCAGAGAGCGGATTATTTCAAGGTGGTTAAGACGACCCTTCATGGCGTTGTTGATATGCAGCACTCCAACAGATGACTAAAAAAAAACTAGGTGGTAGGATGAGTCACTAATTCCTTTATATATGATAAAAGTGAGGAACCTTGGAACCTTGAGCTTCATTGGAGGTATGGTTTCTAAAATTCTTTGGAAGAATGTGCTACTTATAACATGCCAAGTAAGCATTCTCACTTGGTCCATGTGATGGGGGACTGCCTACGTTGATCCGGTGTTGTCTGCCGTTTGGGAATCCTCGAGTCCCTTGGTTGGTCGGTCATGGGGCCAATTGCAGGATACTAACGAATGGTTGAGGGGAGCCTCTGGGGGCAAGTTTACCTAGAATCTCCCATGAGGCATTTTTTAGGATCAGGGCTGACCGAAGAACCTCAAACTGGTCCATTATTTGCGTTTAAAGTGCCTAGACCTTTTCTTGTATGTCTCAGCGTACCATCTCTCTATTTAACTCCATGGTTAAATGTCTCACCGCAGGGATTCTCCTTCGTAGTCGACTCCACTTCTCTTCGGAGGCATGTCCACGTTTACCGCACCACATTTCATGGTGTTGAATGCTGAGTTGTCTCTTGCGAACACGTCCCAAGATTTAGAGTAGAGAAAATGATAGAGAGAGAGAGAGAGAGAGAGTAATCAGACGAATTCCAATAGAGGAGTTGAGGAAAAGAGCCCAATTTTATTCATTTTTGTGCCTCATATTTATAGAGACGTATTTGTATAATTCTAGAAAGAAGGAACAATTATGAAAACCTCCCTTAATGCGATTAACTGTGCTAATTTTATATCAAATATGTATTACGACTTGAATTTGAATATTGCGGTAACCACTTGACCAACACACTTAAGTTCGGTCGACTAAGATGACTGATCTAGTGGCGATTCTGTCTTTCAAAGTAAAATCCGGTCTGTCAATTAGTTGCGGTGAGACGCCCTTGTGGGGAATTTTAATTGTTCGGGACAGTAGGTATGACCTGCAGATTGAACCCCTCGCCAATGTATGCCAGTTTAATTCGACCAGATTGTCGGTCGTCGAAGGTTCGACTTCGTCCGTGCTCTTTTGGTCGGATGCTTCGATTGTCCGACCATAATCCATGACCGCTCGATTGCTTTGAGGTTCATGTCGATAGTTTTAGTGCATATAACGATCAAATATGTTTTATATTTTTTATTTTTAAAAATATATAAATCATAACAGTACAACACATTTTATAGAAACAGAGAAAATAAAATAAAATAAATTTAAAATAAAAATAAAAAATAGAAAGTGAAGGGCTACCATTTCACTTTTTTATATTTGGTTGGATTTAACCATGGAACGATAAATCCTACCAAAAGAGACGCTCTAGAAAATTAGAAAAAAAAAAGGTTAAACGGGAAAGGAAAATGGGGTGAGGCGCAGGCGAGGGCTTCAATCACGCTTCCGCAGGTTTTACGCCGGTGATTGAAATACGTAAGAGGAAGAATATGCCGCCGAAGCAGGATAGCACCGAAGGCATTTTCTTCATTCTCATCTCCATCTTCTCCATTTCTTCCCATTTCACAGCTTCAGTACGATAGATAGTTTTTCCACCCTTCGCATACTTTACCATTTTTTTACTGTTACAGGCATTGTTCTCGGCTTTGTGAACGAGGTATCTTCAGCATTTTGATATTTTCACCTTTTTTTCATTAAAAACATGTTGATTGCTGCCATCTTTCGCATCTTTGTTTTGTTTAGGTGCTGTGGATATAAGTATGAACCGATTATTTTAGTTTTGCATGTATTTTTTACCTGAGAGGGAGTTGTCGGGATCTTAAAATTTTGCTGTTATTCATCTGGAGTAGGGCTTTCCTCACATCAACTCTGTTATATATTATGAATTCTGCGTTTCAGATTGCTGCTGAAGTAGTTTACCAGAGGGTGTATATATAAAGAACAATCGGAACGAATGATTATTTGTGATTGTCGACATATCACATAATGTATAATAAGGTTTGGTTTCTTGTAGATGAAAACCATGTTTTAGAAAATGGGGATGTTGTTTTCACTCAGTTTGAATTTGAAATTGAAATCCTCAATTGAGAGGGTTTTGAGGTGGTTTGTGTTGTTTGAAATCGATGTTGCTGTCCAACTAGATTTTCTTGAATGATACATTCAGCAAATTCAATGATTTTTTAAAATATCTTTTTTAACTTCAAATAGTCTAATGAACCCTTATTTTGGATGAGGGGATGTGCATATATGCATAATTTGACCAAGCCAATATGATTGTGGTATTTGTTGGCTTCCCATTCAGCTACATTGGTGATATAAGTGCCTGAGCTATATTCCTGCTTAGGTTTTAGGGTTGGGTGATATTAGATGAGGGCTTCCAATTCTCCTAGGTTGCTATAGTGAGATGACAAGCAGCAATATAACAATTATTCTGATCTTTTGAACAATAATTATTGTTCAATTTTGTTGCATTAGAAGTTATGTTGCACATTCTTTGAGTGTCCTATAAAATGGTTCATTTTTAGAAATTTTTCTAAGTCTATGCTTGTACATTCACTCACTAGATGACCTTTGCTTTTCATTGTATAAGCACTGGTGATTTCTTCTGCTCTATGATTAAGTTAATTTGTTTAATTTCACTTGATATTTCAATTGGGACCAAACATTTCTTGCTGCAAATTCCAAGTTTTGAATCTTGGACTTAATTGCATTGAAGGAAGCTGCTTGATGATTACACTACCATGGGCGTAATTAATTAATGTTTACTAGCAAATTGATTTTTATTTTGTTGTTACATTTTTTTATAAGAAAATATAATTGCATTAAGCTGCTTTTTTCATTTACTTTATTTGCAACTGTCACAGTTTAATCTACTTTTTCATTTAACTAGTTTGTTTTATGCATTGAACCTTTATTTTTCTAAATAATGTGACTAAAATTTAATCACGATCTTTTGATATAGCAAATTACATTTTTTTTGTTTTCATCAGACTTTGTGGCACCCCTTTTTGAGCTCTTCTTCCGAAGAGCGAGTTCTTTTTCTTCTATTGCTCTATATAATATGTTTTTAAAGATTTAATTGCTCTGAAAAACCTACCCATTTCATTAACACTTGGGGCTTTGATAGAGCCTTACAACATTTACAAATAAATCCTTGAACTTTTTCTATTTGCAAATAGAACCCTACATTAAATACCAATCTCAACACCTCCCCTCAAGATGTGCAAAAGATATCCACTAAGCCCATCTTCCCAAACAACCGATATAAATCTAATGAGCTATGTCTTTTGCTGAGGCAATCAACCACTTGCTCTCTAGTGGCTACATGACTTTGCTTCAGTAGATCGTTATTTAGCTTTTTCCTTGATGAAGAACCTTTCAATCTCCACATTTTTGGTTCTTTCATGTTGCATCGGGTTGTTGGCGATGTTGATTGCTAACTTGTTGTCGCACCATAACTTCATTTGAACTCCTTAGTCCACCTTGAGCTATACCAACAAGACTCTCAACCACATCATCTCAGCGACTTCTAAGGCCATGGCCCTATACTCTGCCTCTGTTGTTGACCTCATTACTAGTTACTGTTTATTGATCTTTAAAGAGACCAACCTGCCTCTTACAAACATGAAGTATCTAGATGCAGACTTTCTGTCATCTTTACAACTCGCCCAGTCAGAGTCACAATAGCCCTTAATGCTTATGTGTCTATTCTTCCTGAAGATCAACCTTTTCCTTGACGCACTCTTCAGGTACCTGAGAATTTGATATACTGTATTCATGTGATCTTCTTCGGATCATGCATGTAGTGACTCACCACACTTACTGCAAATGATGTGTTGGGACGCGTGTGACTAAGACAGATGAGATGACCTACCAACCTCTAGTACCTCTTGCAATCAAATAGCTCTCCTGCCTCTGCGTTCAACTTTTCCTTCTAATCAATTGATAAAATTGCAAGTTTGCATCCTAGCATGCCCGTCTCTTTGAGTAAGTCTAACACATACTTCCTTTGAGATAGAATAATGCTCTCTGCTCCACGAGCCACCTCAATTCCGAGGAAGTATCTAAGCTGTCACATGTCCTTTACATCAAACTCTTTGCCCAAACTTGCATTCAGCCGAACAATCTCTCCCTCACCTCCAGTGACAATCTTATCATTCACATACACAACAAGAATAGTAATGTGACCACCATGTCGTCGAAAGAATGTCGTGTGGTAAGCATTGATCTGCTGATAACTAATGTCTACCATTGCTTTCCTGAACCTATCAATCTGTTGACCTCATTTTCAATTGTTGACCTCATTTTTAGTGAGGTCTAGTCTTTCTCTTAGGGTTTAGGATCTAGCCTTAGGAATCTCCCTTTGACTATCCTAGAGCCTTAGAAATGAGACCCGCCTCATTTTAGAAATTCAACATACTTCTGTACTCTTTTGAAGTTCTGCATGTGGTTCTTGACCTCTAGCACGTAGGAGGTTGAAACCACCTTGAGAGAACTCAAAAGGAGTCCCTATAGGACCTTTAAGCCTTAGGGTAGCCTTTTGCACCTTTTGCACAATTTGCACTCTGCACTCTCACGCGCACAAACTTCGCAATTCGGAGAGTCGACACGTCCGATCGCCACAATTCACATCGCTTGCACCGTTACCTGTCGAAGACTCGAATAAACTTTTTGAGACGATAGATCGCGGGTTGAAATTTTATGAAATTTAAATTTTGACACATTTTGACCTGATTGTCGACGTCGTCGGAGTGACCCTGGATGACAAAACGGACTGCACCGGCTTGTCCGAAATGCCGATTTTGCCTAGGGAGAACACCCATTTTGTTACGACACCGCGTACGAATAAATTGCATGAAATTTAATATATATATATATAT